TACGTGCAGAGAAATGTAGGAGGGAAATTGAGCTTCGGGCCTAGGCAACTAAATCAACGGTAGAGTGATTAAAACTAAGGATGCTCAAGATGTCACAATTTAATAGATGCAGTTATCCTGGAAGATTATGGGTTGAAGGATTTCTTTTTTATTCACTAGTGGCTGGCCAGCATTTATTGCCTGCTTTATATTAAAGATAAAGGGAGAGGACAAGGCCGATGGAGGGTTTGAAACAGACGAGAATTTTGAAATCAAGATTGGAAGTCAATGTAGATTATCAAATAAAGGGCTGATAGGTGACTAGAACTTGATGTAAGCTAGGAAATGGACAGCAGAGTTTTCAAATGGCCTGAAGTCTACAAAAGATAAAATGTGGGAGAACAGCTGGGAATAGTGTTGGAGTAGTCAAGTATAGAAGCAATAAGTGCACAAATAGGGTGTTTCCACACAGGTGAGTTGAGGCATGGGTGGAATCAGGTGGCACTGTGGTGGTGGAATTAGACAGTCTTAATGCTGCTGAAAACATCTGGTTTGAAGCTCATTTCAGGGTCAAGTATGTTAACAAGGTACGCACTGTCTGATTTAGTCTCAGACAGTTGCCAAGGTTAAGGATGAAATTAGTAGCTAGGGAATTACATAAGTCATTAATATAGGTTGTAAGTAGCTGAGACCCAGCAACAATCCTTGTGACACCAAGTAATAACAGCAATCTGGAAGAGGGCCCTTATTCCTGCTATCTCTTAACCAACCTCCATCAATGTTAATATGTTATCCCAACCCACACAGTCTTTATCTTGTTCAACAACCTTGCAAACAGAATTTAGCTTTTTTTTTACTCATCGAACTACCATATTTGCTTGGATAATAAGACTGGTTAACTCTGGAGACGGAGATTACTTAACAAGCATTCAGCAATATTTTTTTCTTTTCTGAGGAAGTATTTTAATTGAAACTGTTATAGAAAGGTTACTTTGCTGTCTACTGATTGTTCTTTATTTCAAGTATAATGATCCAAGAATTGAAAATATTGTTTCATTTTACATTCATTATTAGCTACTCCATGCATAAAATTAAAGCAAATTATGGTTGATTATGCTGATGTGCTAATTTATCGGGGATAATGTAATCATTCAGTAACCTTGTAATGTGTTTTGGGCAATATCCGGTGTCATTGTTATGTTTTGAATATATTTTTAAACTGCAATGTTTGTACTTCTCCCACATTGTTTACTTCAAGCATTTATATATTTATGCTGTTTTTACTGTCATTTAGATGGTTTTTCATTGCAAGATATTTTCATAACTGTAAATTTGTTTAGAAAGGATCCAACTAATCAAATGATGTTTTTGTTATTAGTTTTGGTTCTAATAGCACATCATTGTCTAATTTTTAAGGATTTAATGTTGTTATTCATGTTACTTTCAGTCTCTGGCCTTTTCAAAGCAGCTAATAAGAGATGTTGAAAAGGAAAAGCTGCATGCTGTCAATGCCCAAGAATGTGAGCGACTCGTGGAAAGATGGTTATCTGAAGAGTGCATGAACGCCATAATGGGCTTCTTTGCAAAGAAGTCAAAATTGTGATTTTATTTCCCCACTGTTCAGTAATTGACATCCAGAAACCTAAATACTAGTTATGATTGCAGAATATTTCTGTTATTAATCTTTTAGATTGTTAGCTTTTTTTGTCAATATTTCATTGCAATGTAATTATTAATTGGTCAGCCATACTGCTAGATGTTTTTTCTAATTGTTTTCAGAAATGTATAACTTTAAACATTCAGTCTTATGTGTGATTATTAATTTGGAAAATTATGGATGGCGAGGAGGGAATGAATTGAAATCTGAAATACTATCAGAATGTGTGAAAGTTAGATGATTTGCTAATACTATGTCACTCTTCTACATTTAAAATCTGTAATTTTGCATCATAAATGGATAATGCCAAAAACAATGATAACACTGTTCTGCAACTCTAACTGAATGGGTGTTAATTGCCTTGCACGCTGACAGTATATCACTGAACACAACTTGGGCACATCTATGTCCAGAAAAGATTACTGACTCAATGGGACCATATTTGCACAGGTCTTGGAGGATGAACCATCTGTACAACGTATCAGGCATGTCTTTCCTTACAGACCACCTTTAAGAGAAAATATTTGGATAGTGTTAAAATAGCATAAAGTATTCACAATTTAACTTTCAATCACAACAGCAGTTAAAACCTAGTTCCTTCGTTGAATTGTAACCAAGAAAAAGCTGAGACAAAATTCAGCCTTATATAATTTTCAACATTTTATTAAAATCATACCTCCAGATAGCTGGCTTATAATCATCCTCACAAAAGCACTTTCTCTTAGCAGTGAAATTAATAACTTGGTAGATTGAAAGGAATTCCTGGAGATACTTTACACCTTGAACTTACTACTTGTAAAGGTGCTGGAGGCACTAATCCTCATCACAATTTAAAAAGTACTAAGAAATGCACTGGAAGTGTATATGCATCCTACAAGGCTATAGACAAGAGTTCGAACTTGTTAGTTCTTTTTCAGCAAGCATTAACACTATAGCCAGGATTTTCCATTTTGGAGTAAAATGATGCAGTTGGCATCTTAGATGGTGTCACTTCCGCCATGGCTTATGGTGACTTTTCTCAAGTGATCAACCACTTTTCTGCTGTTTTCATATGAGTTCATTGGTGGGCAAAGTCTCTTGTCCCCCATGGCATCTTCTGAGATTTAAGGTTCTGGCACCATATTTAAAGGCTATGTGGGCATCCTTTCACTCGTTGCCAGCCAGGAACAAGACGACAGCCTATGGTCATTATTCCAACCAAGCCCCAAAATATCTGCAACCCATCAGAATATGGCTTCCCACTTCAATGAAGCTTCAGTAAGTGCTCTGCTGATGGGAAAATGAAGTCATCAATTAGACCTGGGTGGTCTGGCTGAAGTTGCACAGGAGGTCAGTGATGTAAGCAGGCAAAAAATAAGAGATCCCATTGCAGAAAAATGGTGAACAGGGTGTTGCATTCCACAAGGGTAAATGCTCAAAAGGAAGTCACTTTGTCTAACTCAGCCACTGCACAACCATGTCACACAGACACTGCCATGCTCAGCATTATGTGCACTGAAAGGCTCATATCCACTTTATGCTGTCAATGTTCTAACACTCCTCAAGTATTTCCTACTCCTAGTCACTGGGGAAGCACCAGATTTGGCAGGACTGTACTTATCAAATGCGCATGGAAGCATTCCAGTCACAGTCAACCCTTCTCTTCCTCTTGTTGCAAGAGAAGCAGACACATGTTAAGAAGCAAATACCTAGATTAACAAAGGGCTCAGGGATCTCTGCATTCTCACCATGTCTGAGGTCAGGATGGATACTTGCCTTTATTAGTTGTGGCATAGAAATTGAGAGCAGGGAAGTTATGTCAGAACTGTATAAAAAGTTGGTTAGGCTGCAACTAGACTATTGTGTGCAGTTCTGGAATCCACATTATAGCAGGGATTTGAGAGCACTGGAGAGGGTGCAGAGGAGATTTGCCGGGATGTTGCCTGGAGAGCTTCAGTTATGAAGAGAAATTGGATAGACTGGGGTCGTTTCCTTGGAGCAGAGGAGACTGAGGGCGAATATGATTGAGATGTATAAAATTACAACGGGCATAGATAGAATAGACAGGAAGGAACTGGTGGAGGGATCAATTACCAGGGTACATAGTTTTAAGATGAGGGGCAGGAGGTTCAGAGGAGATGTGAGGAAAAGGTTGTTTTGTCCAGATGATGGTCAGAATCTCAATTAACTGCCTGTAAGGGTGGTAGAGGCAGAAACCCTTATAACCTTTAAGAATTAATTAGACATACACTTGTAATGTCTAGGCATACAAGGCTATGGGCCAATTGTGGATAAGTGCGATCAGAAAAGTTATGTAACTTGGCACAGACTTGATGGACCAAAAGTCCTTTTTCTGTGCAGTACCTCTCTATGACTTTGAGGACTAGGCTATTTCTGCTGGTGGGTGAGGACCAAGTTGGTCCCATGTTAATACAGAGACAGGAATGGCAGGAGAAGCCAATGAGAAACGTTGCAGTCTATGTTTTTCAGATGTGCAGCCAATCTCACTATACATAAGGGTTTGTGCATCTTCTAGATCATGAGACCATAGCCCTGTTGCCTTGCCATCTTTGAGGGCTCTCCTGGGCCATCTCAGCTTCAGCTTCAGCTTCCTCCTCAGAGAATGCCTCTCACTCTTCCATCACTTTGTGTCCTAAGATATCCACATTATAGCAGGAATTTGGGATGGTGGCTTATTGGTGAGCACTGCTGCCTCACAGCGACAGGGACCCGGGTTCGATTCTAGCCTCAGGCAACTGTGTGGAGTTTGCACACTCTCTCCATGTCTGCATGGGTTTCCTCTAAGTGCTCTGGTTTCTTCCCATAGTCCAAAGCTGTGCAAGTTAGGTGGATTGGCCATGCTAAATTGCCCATTGTGTCCAGGGATGTATAGGCTAGGTGGGTTAGCCATGGAAATGCAGATTTACAGGGATAGGGCAGGTGAATCTGGGTGGGATGCTCTTTGGAGAGTTGGTGGTGACTTGTTGGGCCGAATGGCCTGTTTCCACACTGTATGGATTCTATGGAATATCCATTTTTTGCTGAACAAGGTTTCGAGTGCACAGCAGACAACTGTGATGTGGGACAGTCCATCTGAGGTGTATTTATTGTATTGTCCAGGCATCTGAATCCCATCTTTAGCAGCCCTATGGTCTGCTCTATAATGACTTCCATGGGAGTTTTCACAGTGCTGTTCCTGTCTTCAGCATCAGTGTTTGGCTTCTTGAAACATGTTATCAACCATTGTTTTGAGAACTTAGCCTTTGTTGGCGACCAACCATCTCAGGTGCACAAAGTAGTCTCGAACGATACAGGTACTCATGAGAGATCCAGAACTTGGTGCAAGTAAGGACACAGGCAGCAGAGTTTAGGATAACATCCAGTTCAGAGAGGGTAGAATGTGGAAGGCAGGAGAGTGTTGGAACAGCCAAGTCTAAAGATTAAAAAGGCATAGATTAGAGTTTCAGCAGCTAAAGCAGGAGCAGAGTCAAGCAATGATACAGAGGTGGAAATAAACAGTTTTAATGATGGTGCAAATGTGTGGTGTGAAACGCAACTCGGGACAAATGTAAGACCACAGCTGTGAACAGAACTGGTTCAGCTTCAGACAGTTGTAAAAAGAGTAAATTTGGTAGCTAAGGAACATGGTTTGTAATGGAACCAAACATAACGGTTTCAGTCTGCCCAACATTAACTACAGAGAAAAAAAATCAACCAAAAACCAGTTGCAAGGTATACAGTCTGATAATTTAGCAACAGTGGAGAAGTCAAAAGGTATAGTTGTGAGGTACAACTAGGTGTCATCAGATTGATATTGGTGATTATTTTTTACTTTATAAAAACAAAATATCAATATCATGCCTGACAAATTTACCTGAATTCTTTGAGGACATAACCAGCACAATATATCAAGGGGAATCGATGGATGTAATACATTTGGATTTTCAGAAGGTGTTTGATAAGGTACCGCATATTAGGCTATTAAAGGTAAGAGCCCATGGTGTTGGAGGCAGTATCTTAGCATGAATAACGGACGGGAGGCAACTTTAGGACAGCAATCTGCAACTTGAGTGCCACAGGGATCAGTGCTTGGGCCACAATTACAGTATATAAATGACTTAAATGAAGAAATATAGCCAGATTTGTGAATGACACAAAAAATAAGTGGAAGGCAATTGATGAGGATGACATTAGTCTGCAGAGGGATATAGACAGGTCAAACAAGTGGGCAAAAATTTGGCAGATAGATTGTAATTTGGGAAAAATGTGATATTATGTACTTTTTGGCAGGAGGAATAGAGGAACTGAATATTATTTAAATGGAGAAAGACTGCAGAAAACTTAAGAACACATTGATTTGAGAGTCCCAGTCAATGAGTCACAAAGAGCGAGCATCCAATTTAAGTGGGTTATAGGGAAGGCAAATGGAATTTTGGCCATTATTTCGAAGGAAATAGAGTATAAAAGAAGGGAGGATTTTACTAAAACTATACAAGGTAGTTGTCAGCTTAAACACTGTGAACAGTGTCGGCCAACTTTTCTAAGAAAAGATAGACTGCCATTAGAAGCCAGAGAAGGTTCACTAGGCTGATGCCAGTATGAAGACACTGTCTTAGGAGAAGTTCAGTAGGTTGGGCTGTACTCACTGGAATTCAGAAGAATAACATGACCTTATTGAAACATTCAAGATTCTTAGGGGACTTGAGAGGGTAAATATAGAAAGGTTATTTTCCTTTGTGAGAGAGCCTAGGATCTGAGGGGATAATTTCAGGATAAGGAGTCACACATTTAAGACAGTGATGAGGAGGAATTTCTTCTCTGAGGCTATTGGATCTGTGGAATTCTTTACTGCAGAAGATTGTTGAGGCTGGGTCATTTAAGTATATTTAAGACCGAGATGGACATGTTTTTAATTATTAAGGGAATCAAGGGTTAAGGGAAAGGGCAGGAAAGTGGAGTTGAGCATTGTCAGATCAGCCACGATCTCATTGAATAGCAGAGCGGACTCAGTGGGCAGAATGACCTACTTCTGCTGCTACATCTTTGGTGTTATTGCATCAGGTTAATTGACCAGGGACATATCTCTCTATAGCTTGCATATCCTTTCTCAGCATGGATGGAAAATTTGCTTCTCCTCAAAATCTTACAGCTGTCCAAGTCTTACGACTATCCCCCTGACAAGACAAATTCAAATTTTCAACCCTTACTTGCCCTGCGGTTATCAGCATTCCATACATGATCTAAGGTTGCTCAAAATTAAGCCTTCCCATTCCAAATAATACTAATTCATCACAGGTGGAAAAGAAACATTTCCAAATAAATGATATCCCCCCCTCCTTT